CCAACTCAAAAAAAAAAAAAAAAAAAAGAAAAAATCAGCTGGGCGTGGTAGCACGTGCCTGTAATTCCATCTACTCAGAAGGCTGAGGTGGAAGGATTGCCAGAGCCCAGCAGATCGAGGCTGCAGTGGCCAGGAGTGGCCACTACACTCCAGTCGGGTGACAGAGTGAGACTCCAACTCAAACAAACAAACAAACAAACAAACAGCACCAGGAATCCTAATGCTGGGAGATCAGCAGCCTCTCCTAGGGAGGTGTCATCCCCCCCATCAACACAGCCTTCTTGGGTTCCGGGGAGAAGGGGCTGGAGTCCCAGAGGGAGAGCACCCAAGAGCTGCACCCACATCCACCTGAGAATATTTACAAAGCAACATGCACTGAACACAAATGAACTGAGTCAACTGCCTTCTTCTTAGAACTAGAGTTGGGGAAAGGCAGAAAAGGGGGGAGGAGGAGAAAGACTCAGGACGAACTGAATGGCAGAGCATGAAAAACAGAAGTTGACGGGTTCGAGACCCGCCTGGGCAACTTGGCGAGACCTCATCTCTACAATAAATCAAAAAATTAGCCAGGCGTGGTAGCGTGGGCCTGTAGTTCTAGCTACTTGGAAGGCTGAGGCGGAAGGATCGCCGGAGCCCAGCAGTTCGAGGCTGTGGTGGCTGGGAGCGGCCACTGCACTCCAGTCTGGGTGACAGTGAGACTCCAACTCAAACAAAAAAAAGACAGCCAGGCTCGGTGGCTCAGCCTGTAATCCCGTGCCTTTTGGAGGCTGAGGTGAGTGGATTGCCTGAGCCCACGGGTTCGAGACCCACCTGGGAAGCAAGACCTCATCTCTACAATAAATCAAAAAATCAGCCGGATGTGGTAGCGCATGCCTGTAATTCCGGCTACTCGGAAGGCTGAGGCGGAAGGATCGCCGGAGCCCAGCAGGTGGAGGCTGCGGTGGCCGGGAGCGGCCACTGCGCTCCAGTCTGGGCGACAAGTGAGACTCCAACTCAAAAAAAAAAAAAGAAAAACAGAAGTTGGAACAAGCACAGCTGGGGGTGACTAAGGAAAAGCTTAGCCAATGAAGTTTGTGATACCCATGCTTATAGCAGCATTATTCACAACAGCTACCAGGTGCGAGCAACCCAAGTGTGGCGGTTAACTGCATGTGACAACTTGACTGGGCCACAGGATACCCAGACGTTTTAGTTAAGCATTGTCCTGGGTGTGTCTGGGAGGGTGTTTCTAGATGGAATGGACGCTGAATCAGTGGACTGAGCAAAGCTGAGTGACCCCTGATGTGGGTATGCCTCATCCAATCAGCAGAAGAGCTGAATGGAACAAAACAGGCAACTGCCCTGCTGGCTCTCGTGGGTCTCCAGTCTGCTGACTGCCAATCTTGTCAGTCTCCATAGTCATGCGCCAACTCCCTATAACAAATCTGATCCTGTGTAGAGATTTACAATACATGCTCTGGGTGCTGTTTCTCTGGAGAATCCTGACTAATACACCAAGTGCCAATCAACTGATAACTGGACAGACAAACTGTGGTATATTCACACAATGGAATACGATTCAGCCTTAGAAAGGAACTTCTGACACATGAATGTTGAAGACGTTGCACTAAATTAAATAATGTAGTCACAAAAAGACAAATCATGTACAATTCCACGATTTAAGTCCTAGAGTCGTCAATTTCATAGGGACAGAAAGGAGTGTACTGGCTGCCAGGGTCTGGGGGTGGAAGAAATTGGAAGTTATTATTTAATGGATAGAGTTTCAGCTGGGGAAGATGAAAAAGTTCAGAGTTGGATGGTGGTTATTCTTGCTTAACGTGTGAATGTACTTAATGCCACTCAACTATACACTTAAAAATGCTTAAGATAAGCTGGGCTCGGTGGCTCAGCCTATAATCCCGCGCCTTTGGGAGGCTGAGGTGAGTGGATTGCCTGAGCCTGCGGGTTCAAGACCCGCCTGAGCAGGCGAGACCTCATCTCTACAATAAATCAAAAATCAGCCGGGCATGGTAGCGCACGCCTGTAGTTCCAGCAACTTGGAAGGCTGAGGCGGAAGGATCGCCAGAGACCAGCAGGTCGAGGCTGCGGTGGCCGGGAGCGGCCACTGCACTCCAGTCTGGGCGACAGTGAGACTCCAACTCAAAAAAAAAAAAAATGCTTAAGATGATGTTATAGATATGTTTTACCACAACTTAAAAAAAGTTTTTAAAAAAAGTTTCTAGGGTTTGGTTTAGTGAGTAGGCTCCCAATTTATAAAAAGAGAAGACTGTCCTCTTAATAAATCCTGCTTTCTCACAAACACATTCACAAACACATACACACACACACACACACACACACGAACACACGAGAAGATATGGAGTTATCAAACAGTCCAGATAATGTGTTCGCTAACAGCACTTGCCTAGCCCTGGGAACCTTCTCCACAGAACATCCCATTATGACCAGAAGGTTGCTGGGGGAAGGAGAATGGGGGAAGGAGAATCAGAGCCAGAGCTCCCGCCTCAGCCTTCCAAAGCACTGGGATCACAGGTGTGAGCTGCCTTTTTCTTTCTTTCTTATTTGGCTGGTGGATTTTAACAGCTGGCGTCCTGCCACAATGATGGCCAGATGCCCCTCCACTGTGGGGACACCAGCAGAAGGGGAGCTTGAAGGTGTTGGAATGAGAGAAAACATTCCAAATGGAGTTACAAAGATCCTACTGGCACAAACTGTGTCCTCGCAAGTAGAATATTCACTTGCACCAGCTCTGGGTGCAGGTAAGGGCCCACACTGCTCAACCGCCACTTTCCTCTTGCCTGCCCTCCTGGAAAGCTGTGAACTGCATTTTTCTTTTTTCTTTTTTTTTTTGAGTTGGAGTCTCACTCTGTCGCCCAGACCGGAGTGCAGTGGCACGCTCCCAGCCACCGCAGCCTCGACCTGCTGGGCTCCGGCAATCCTTCTGCCTCAGCCTTCCAAGTAGCCAGAACTACAGGCACGCGTGCCCGGCTAATTTTTGATTTATCGTAGAGATGAGGTCTTGCCAAGTTGCCCAGGTGGGTCTCAAACCCGCGGGTTCAGGCAATCCACCCGCCTCAGTCTCCAAAGTGCTGGGATTACAGGTTGAGCTACCGAGCCTGGCCTGCATTTTTCTTAAGGAGAAGGAGACTCCTATTCTACAAGGTGCAATCAAGGGCTGGTGGCTACCTCCACGTCCCGCTTCAGCTTCTCCAGGAAGTTCTTTTTACTCTCCTCGCCCACGTGCAGCTTCTGCCCCTCGTTGAGGAAGTCGTTGTCTTTGAATGTTGGCAAGTCCTTGGCCTGGGAGAGCAATAGCAGTGTTAGGTGGGGTGGGCCTGACTCCCCTGCCCTAGGGAGAGTCTGCCATTCTGCTGAGAGCAATGAGGCAGAAAGGCAAAGGGTCTTAAGTGCACAGACGCTCAACCTGCTCCACTGGCAGTGCAGGAGCCCACGGTCCCAGGCTTTGGGTAGGCGGGGACAGAAATGCGTGGCAGGTACAGACAATGAGACTGACCAAAGGAATCCTTCCTGCTGACCCTGGACGATCTCAGAGCTAACTGACTCAGGGTAGACATGAGATGGAAACTGTCTGCTATCCCAGCAGAACTATGGAGAACCTAGCGAGGGCAGCAATAGAAAGCTGGAGACCAGGCTTAAGCCTAGGCCAATGACAGGAAGGTGCTGAGTGACACAGAGCATTTCATGCTGCCAGACTGCATGTCTGGGCTGGCAGCTGTGGACGGGAGGGATGGGATGACCAACAGGAGTTGTCACAGATTCCAAGTGACCCTTCCACACTTGCTTAGTGCCAGCGTACCTTCTCCTTGTCACTCGCTTCTCTGGCAACAGTAGAACCCTAGAAAGATAAAAGCTATCAGGAAAAGTCCGGCTGAGGCACATTCCGCTGAGCAAGCAAGCGAGCATGCACCCGTCTCAGGGGGCCAGCAGTGAACTAAAGCAAGCTGGTTAGAATCCTGGAGGGGATCAGGCTCAGTGGCACAGCCTATAATCCCTGCACTTCGGGAGACCAAGGAGAGTGGATTGCCTGAGCCCATGAGTTTGAGACCAGCCCGGGCAACTTGGTGAGACCTCGCCTCTACAATTAAAAAAATAAAATTAGCCAGGCGTGGTAGCACATGCCTATAGTTCTGGCTACTTGGAAGACTGAGGCGGAAGGATTGCTGGAGCCCAGCAGGTTGACGCTGGGGTGGCTGTGAGTGTGCTACTGCACTCCAGCCTAGGTGACAAAGTGAGACTCCAACTCAAAAAAGGAAAAAAAAAGAATCCTAGAGGGGTGGCTGGGCATGGTGGCTCACACCTATAATCCCAGCACTTTGGGAGACAGAGACGAGAGGATTACCCGAGTTCAGGGATTCAAGACCGGCCTAGGCAACTTGGCCAGACCTTGTCTCTACAATAAATCAAAAAATTAGCTGGGCGTGGTAGCATGTGCCTGTAGTTCCAGCTACTTGGAAGGCTGAGGCTGAAGGATCACCTGAGTCCAGCAGGTTGAGGCTGCTGTGGCCATGAGCATGCCACTGGACTCCAGCCTGGGTGACACTGGGACTCCAACTCAAAAATGAAAAAGAAAAAAAGAAAGAACCCTAGCGGGGCCAGGAGGTATGAACTGTTCACTGACTGTGACTGTGTCACAGTCACTCAGAGTCCAGTGACACATGCAAAGTGCTCAGCAACAAGACTGCACCAAGAAGACTCAGTCCCTGCCTGCAGGGCACTATCCTTCCAAGAGGGAGGCAGGCATTAAGTGGCTAAGCAAGGCATGAATTCACTGACTACCAGGGTGTTCGGTGGTAAGGGAGGAGAAAGGACACTCCAGGCATCTCACATAGGAGCCTGGGTTGGGGAGAGGCGGTGGCCAGGACCCACCTCCGGGAAGTAATAGTATATGAGCTGAGCTCAGAAGGGTAAGTAGAAGCAATTAGGTGGGGGAGGAAGGAGGTAGGGGAAAGGGAAGGACCACTGGGAGGGAAACTATTCCAGGCAGCCCCATGGAATCCTGGGAGGAGGAGGAGGTGCGCAGGCACTGCAGAACCGCAAAGGAACCAGCAGAGCTGCAGCATAGAGGGAGGGACAGCAGTGTCAGGTGACAGAAGCCGGAAGCCAGGTTCAAGAACAAGGAAGCATCCTGGTTCACAGTCACAAGTGTGTCCTCCAGGTATCTAGAAACGCACTTGTGCTGTCAGTCCACGGGGGCCTGGAGGGGTGCCAGAGCTGTGCGCCAGCACAGCCTGTCCCCGTCCTGCGGCCTTGGATGTGCACATCCCACAGACAGAGCATCAACTGCTGCATAAATACGGTACATTTAGGCCTCAGTAACCTCTTGCCACTGTTACCTGGACTTGAAACAGCCCCAGTCCACAAGAACTAGGCCTATCCTCCCCAGCGTCACTCGTCTGTGCCAACACGCACACTCCGGCTTTCCTAGCCAGTGTGGAATGGGGGAGCGGCCCCCGCGGGTCCCTGACAGTGAGCAGGCAGAGTAGGCGAACACAGGCCCTTTACCTTGAGGTCATACTTGCGGTGCACAGTGAGCCGGTGGCTGAACACATTCCTGGTGACCACCATGTAGGTTTCTACGCCGTCCACGGTCAGGCGGTACATGCCCAGGAACTGTGGCAAAAGCGTGTTGCCGTGACACTCCACTATAAACTGGAAGGGCAGGAGGCAAGGGCCAAGGCTGAGTGCAAAGGTGCCAGAGGGCCAAACTCTCCCAGGCTGCAGGCCCGGGATGCCGCCCTCCACCTGGGTCCTAGGAGAAACAGGGCTCCTCAGCCCCCGCCCTACCAGCCTGGCTCAGAGGCAAGCCCACAGGCAGTGCAGGGCCCCTCGGGGTCCCACTAGTGGATCCCACCCGGGACTTGGTGTGAGACAGGATTCCACAGGAGGAGAAGCCCTGCTCCATGCCTTGCACCTCTTCTGCAGGCCAGACGGGGACAAGCCACAGAAGGCTAACGAAACGGGCCAGCCCCACAGCCTCACCCAGGCCATGCCCAGGGTTTCTGCTGCAACTCCCCAAACACCAGAAGGCCCTTCACCGCTTTTCAGTGCCCTGGAAACCAGGACCCAAGCAAGCTGAGCACAGCCAACGAGCCAGTGCCCTGGTGCCCTGTTCCTCGCGTGGACAGTCCAGGCGAGCAGAGACAGAGCAGGAGGAAAGCCACCCTGCTGAGCCGACGGGAGCAGTTTCAGAAGAACTGGGCCAGATGCCAAAGTGGGAAAACTTCCCAATGGGGCTGAGTCAGCGGCGAGCCTCATGTCTCCTGTTTTCTCTTTTAAGTGGGCGTTTCAACTCCCAGAAACATGCATGCAGGAGAGGCCCCCCTCCTCAGCTATCAGAAGCACCTGCCGTCACCAGAGAGGCCCAAGTCCTTCCCAGTGGCCCACCAGGGCTCTCTTCTCCCTCTCCCAACCCCCTACGACCAGGCCTGGGACTCACCATACCTGGTGGTACTTCTTTAAGATGTTGTGCATCTCAGCGACATCCTCACTGGACACAGTCTTGATGACAAAGCGCCGGTCGTAGGTGGTGAGGAAACGTGTGCCACACCGGCCCTGGCTGTCACTGTTGATGGGGGCGCTGCGCGTCACCGAATTCTGATGGACCGAGACAGAAGCAGGCTGGGCTTGTCAGTGGGGCTAGGATTCCAGCTTTCGCACTGAGTCTTCTCTTATGGGCTGAACGCTTGAAAGCCAATGACACTGAGGCAGAGGGACTCCCAGAGGGGACCTGACCCACCCTTTCTTGCAGGGTGTTCGCATCCCTCCCTAAAAGTTCCTCCAAAGTGACCAGAGCTGTTCCTTCCAGCAGCCCCATATCATAGCCCAGGATGGGAAGAGGGCTGACTGTGAAGAGCCTCCTTTCTTTCAGACCCAGAGAGCTACCCTACACACTGCAACTGCCCCCAAGGTCAGAGGGCTGGGTTCTAACCTGACCTCACTGTAGCATGACTATGGTGAGCCATGGAACCTCTCTCCCCGAATTTCCTCATCTGGAACACAACGAGGCACACCAAGCTGAGTCCCAGTCTCCTGGGTGACAAAGCCGAAGCCTGGGAAATCCTGTCTCTGGAGGTCTAGTGTAAGAAGCAACAGACACGGGCGTCTCCTCCCTCTGTCTACCCATCCCAAAGCGGGAAGCGGACGCTCTCGCTCAGCCTTTCCCTCTCCTCAACCTCCTGCTCTCTGTGCAGGGCTAGGAGGCAGTTCTGGGGAGCGTTTCTGGCTCTAGCCCTATTCCTCCTTGGGGCCCCACTCCCGTAAGGATCAGGGGAGAGGTAGAAGCCTCCAGAGGGAGGGTGGGGAAGGGGTGAGTCAACCAAAGGGACGGGTTCACCAAGCAGAGGACCCAGACATCCCTGATCCCAAGAAAACACATATGGGGACCTGCCGGCAGAAACGCCTCATCTCCACATCTTTCTCCATCTCTTAACCAGGGTCCCCTCTTCACCTTCACCTAGGGCCTCCTCCAAACCGCTGGCGAGGTAGTGAGCACCACCTCCAAGGGGGACAGGGCTGTGGTGGCGATGGCCCTGGGAGTCCCTCTGCAAAGGCTGAAATAAAGCAGCACCTCCTGAGGTGGAGTGTTGAGGTGGCCACGTGACCTTTCTCCCAGCCTGGCCTTTCTACGAGACTCACAGGCCACAAGACCTCGGGAGGCAGAGCTCCGTCCTGCCTCTCTCCAGGCATCAGCTTCTGCCTCTCCAGGAAAACAGAAGACTTCCCCGCCCTCACTTCCGTATGAGTGCAAGCCTGTGCCCACCAGGCTATTTGCGAAATGCAGGCTCCAAGGGGATGTTGTGGACAGCTGGTGGGTAAAGGAGCTGCGGGAGAGAAGACCAGAGCAGCCTGGGTGCAACAGTGGCAAAAACCCTGTGGAGGTTTCTAGCTCCACAAGGCACTGACTGAGGTCAGGGTTCCATCCTGACCCAGGGGCTGGGGACCCTTGTAGAGGTGGACACTTGGGGCACTCATCCCCTAGCCCTCCTCTCAGAAAACGTGTCCTTACAAGGAATGTGCCCTGCAGAGGGGAGGAGAGGGCAGGGCCGCTCCCCAGGGCCGTTCTGCTTCTGGGAACTACTCTCACTGGGGAGGGATGGCAGGAATGGCAGGGTTTGAAGAGGCTTGGACATCAATTTAGCCCTTGCCATGTGTATACTCCCTTCTCTCCCCAGATGACTAGAAGGCAGTTCTGTTTCTTACTGCTCTAAAGGGCAAGTGGAAGATTCTCCCACCTTCACCACAAGCCCATCTGCCAGGAGGAAAGTCCATGGAAAGGAGCCTCATGGAAGACAGAGGCCATGGAGATGGGATGGACCTCACGGCCCTGCTGCAGGGGGTTCCCCCCACCAGCCAATGCCTCCACAACACTATCACCCCTGAAGAGGGCAGTCGCCCTGGCACACCTGCTCCCTTCTACCAGATCAGGGTACACGTTTAAGAGGTTGCCCTACCCATGAAGTCTTCCTTTTCTAATCTGTCTTATCTGCTTAAGTGGCCTCCTTGCTGGGTGCGGTGGCTCACGCTTGTAATCCCAGCACTTTGGGAGGTGGAGGTGAGAGGACTGCCTGAGTCCAGGGGTTCGAAACTAGTCTGGACAACTTGGCGAGACCTAGTCACTACAATAAATTAAGAAATTAAAGCCGGGCTCGGTGGCTCAGCCTGTAATCCCACGCCTTTGGGAGGCTGAGGTGAGTGGATTGCCTGAGTCCGCAGGTTCAAGGCCCACCTGGGCAGGCGAGACCTCATCTCTATAATAAATCAAAAAATTAGTCGGGTGTGGTAGCACGTGCCTGTGGAAGGCTGAGGCGAAAGGATTGCCGGAGCCCAGCAGGTCGAGGCTGCGGTGGCCGGGAGCGGTCACTGCACTCCAGTCTGGGCAACAGAGTGAGACTCCAACTCAAAAAAAAGAGAAATCAGCCAGGCGTGGTGGCATGCACCTCTAGTTCCAGCTACTTGGAAGGCTGAGGTGGAAGAATCGCCTGAGCCCAGCAGGCGTGAACATGCCACTGCACTCCAGCCAAAAAAAAAAAAACAAAGAGACCTCTTCTCTTACAGGTAACAAACATTCTCTCTTTTAAGTCAAACTACAATGAAGAGGAGTTCTTTGCCTAGACTGGGAATGTCAGGCACACACAAAGCCACTTCTGCAGACTTCACTCCTTCCTGCCTCTTACCAGAGGGGAGAAGGGGAGGGGGCCCTCACCCCTCCAAGGGTCCCTGGTCCTGGGGGGAGACTGCCTGGCTGGAGCAAGATGTGGTGGGGACACGAGCAAGGAGCAGTCCACACCTTCCCTCACTACCCAGCCTGTGGTTCTGGCCCTGCTACACTCCGTGACCCCTCTGATTTTGCCAAGATACCCCGTACCTGGTAATCCTGATCATCAATCCCAAACCTCTCCCGAAGATTTCGGAACACCATGGGGCAGTACTCCTTAAACTTAAAGCGGCTGGGGAGGTTCTCCCTAGGGAAAAGCAGAAACATGTCTTTGTGAACCACCCCTCTCTCATCTGGATCCTGATTTCGGAACTCCTCAGGCCACAGGTCACCTGGATCTGAACAGTCCGCCATGCTTGGAACATAGGTTTCTAGGTTCTAGGAATTCTGGAGATGAGTCTAGAAATCTGAGTCTTAAATGAACACTCCAGGCCATTCCGAGCATGTAAAAGCTTAAAAATATTACATCTTGGGTTCACCTTGTAAAAAGCAAGCCAGCTGAATACTTAGGAGGTATACAGTTGTGTCTGGTGTCCTTCAATAAAGCGTGCATTACAGAGAAACCCTCGCCTGCAGGGCGGCGGGACTGGGTGTGGGCCCCACCCCACGAGTACTGTCCTCGCTCTGGGTGGGCGCCTGTGTGGGAACATCTGCTGGGAGGTGTCAGTCTGACTGCCACAGGGAAAGACCTTTCTCATCAAAAGGGCTCTCTCCCCTGGGATGTGCCTGCCCTGAAAGGGTGACAGACAGGAAGCCCTGCCCTGGGCCCGCAGGGATGTGGGAAGCGGGCACTGTAGATGGAAGGGTTCCTCAGTCAACTGACTAGGGTCACAAGGCCGTGGCTGCTGGCACCAGCCATGCTCCCCTTCTTAGTCAATTCAGACTCCTAGGAGGAGAGAGAAGTGACCTGGAAGTGACGGCTCCTCCAGCTTGACAACCACCCCCTGCTTAGGAACTCCCTCTCAGAAAGATGTCCCTCTGCCCACTCAGGATGACAAGCTCCAGGAAAATAAAAGGCACCGGCTTCTCGGGAAGGAAGGGCCTAGCCTGCCATATTCACCCCACTTCTAAAAAACAGCACGTAAACAGCTGCTGAAAGGACACAGGAATCAAGACAAAAGCTGAGGAGAGCTGGGCACTGTGCCATAGGCCATGTCAGGTGGCAGAGCATCACCAGAGCCACAGATCCTGAAGTGGGAGTGGTGCAGAGCCATCTTCCGGGGCAGTACACTCTCCTTTCCTTCCTCCGAGCTGAGGGCTGCCTCCCCTTCCTAGGTGGGCCACTCAGCAAGCAGCAGCTATGGAGATGGACAGTTTCCAGAACAAGAAGTTATTGCTGTGGCAGAGGGAGACTGCTAAGAGCCATTCTCAAGTTGGGCTCAGTGGCTCAGCCTGTAATCCCACACTTTGGGAGGCCAAGGTGAGTGGATTACCTGAGCCCGCGGGTTCGAGACCCACCTGGGCAACTTGGCAAGACCTCATCTCTACAA